ACCATGAAACTTCATGTGTTTGCTAATGCATCTGGTTTGTAGTAATCAGAGCAGTAGGGATATAGATCGGTAACATTCTTGCTCTTTCAAATAGCAATTGTGTACGTACAAGGTATCTCGTCAAGTTGAAATATCCCAAAATTACATATATTTTTCTCAAGTCAAACAATGTATATTCGTCTACCTTCATACACTGAAAAAAATTAGAAGATGCAATAACCTGCAAACATTTAAAAGTTAGCGATACATTACATGATAATTCACTACAAAGCAGCTAATGTCTCATGAATCATTCAAAAATATAGTACAGTGAGCCGCAAAAAAAAAAAAAAGATACATTAATCACTAATTTTAATATTAAATTAATGCAATAAGTATCTAATACATCTTCTTGTACACACTTTACTACATGTATCATATACACAAACAAATTGATACAATAAATATGACAATAGACAGTAAGAAGTTCCTTAAGAGAGAAGAATCGATTAATACATGTTGTTGAGATCTGAATATAATAGCCTATAACAAGTTATTTACTTATTTCTTAATTAAAAACAAAATTGTTACGCATTGTTCATTGAAAAGATGCATATAACATTGAAAAGTCGCAACCGTGAATTTGTCAATGGAGTATGAAGAAACCGCAAAGAGATACAACTCTCACAATAATTAGCACTTAGTATCCACTCGATCAAAAAAACTTTTAAATTAACTGATGTCTTCAGTTGCTCCAAAATAAATCTATGTGGCAAAGAAAATTTGAACTATGTTACCTAGCAAACGTAATATCAATTTTTTCACAAGTAGCAATTTCTAGGGTGGAATCGAAAAGACCCTTACTACCACTTTTTGCACTCTCAGGTGAAGGTCGATCAGAATCATTGTTCGACTCTCTGTCAAATTCTTTGACAGAAGAATTGCTTCATAATTTGAATGGTTCTTCAATGAAAAAGGAGAAGAAATTTGAATTTTGAATTTTTTGGTTCCTTTATGCTATATGACTGAATTGTTGATAGTAGTCTGGAATGGAATAACACAATTTATAAGATCTTAATTTGATTTTTCAATTTTTTTCCTTAATTAGCACAACAAATGGATATTATGGCATCATAATTTGATTTTCAATTTTATTTTCCTTTAATAAGCACCACGAATATATAATATATCAACAATAATGTATCCAGATTCTTAGTTATGTATCTGGAATGTCTAAAAAATATGGGATTTATGTAATTAAAAAAAAATAAGAATAGAAGGTAATTTCACTCTTACACTCTGAGATTCTTAAAATTTATACTTTTAATTAGGCTCTAAGGTGATTAGAGATCGATGAAAACAGGTCAATTGGATCTATGTCTGAAGGGGGGAAATACTATAATTTATATCAGAAAAAAAATTATATAATTCTTATTACCTCTATGTTTTTTATATTAATATGAAATCATATTAAAGTTTAGCTTGAATGATTTTTATTCATTTATTAGGTGATTACTAATTGTTGATTTCATTTTATTATTGAATCAACGTCTATATATTAAATTTTTCTCTTCCTCTCAGATTAATCATTGCATCCATATATCAAAAAGAACGATATAATTTGTATGAACATAACGCCTCATATAAAATTGATTTTTTTTATCAAAGTGTTAAAATCCAATATAAATTAAGGGAAATAATGCAATATTTTAACACTACTAATAAAAATAATTTCTTTTTTATTTCACAAAAATATTAATACTATTTATTGTGTTTTAAGAAATGTGTCAAATCAACATGAACAATATTGGATAGAGGAAGTACTAAGAATATCAATTTAGACAAATTATTACTCTTCTATAATTAATTATTTATCCATTTTTGAATTAACACTTGATAAGAATACAATAATTAACCTAATAAATTTACTATTTATAATCATAAATCAGATTATATCTATTTACCAACGGAAAAAATGGAATGGTCAAACTCAATCCAGTAATGATGGGCCAAACGATCGAGAAGATGTGATTATTAAAATTTGAAATTGTGTTTTTGAATATGTACTTTATTAATTTGAATTCATATTCATTTCTTAAAGTTGATGTAAACTTCGTGACCAAATAAATTTTCGAAAAATATGAAAACCTCAACGACTCAATTGATTTATGTTTTAATCATTCAGTAAGACATGAATTCTTCGAAGGCAAAACCCAAAATTACAAATTCCGAAATAAATTTGATGTAAAAATTTTCAGATTTAAATAAAATGAAGAGAGATATGAAAGTACTAATAATTTAAAACAAAAATGTGGGGAAAATGATTGTTGAAAATTTCCAGTAAAGAGATGAAACACAACTGCCCATCTTCCCCAAAAATTAATTTTGCAGAGAACACTTTCGTGCAAAGCGCATTAATAATAGCACAAAGCCGATACACACAATCCCTGCTTGCTTATTTTTAAAAACATAAACAAAATTGTTCATATAATGCAAGAAGAAAAATCAAACCCCAGAAAATTAAGCTAAGATTATTGCTGGTTTTAGAGAGGCGAACTCACTGTGGGATTAAAAGGGAGAGGGTGTGGAGCGTCATTATATAGGACGAATTAGGGTTTCAACAATGGTACAATATTACTAAATTACCCTTATAATTGGGCTTTAAACTCTAATTTGACCTAAAACTTGATAGTTGGGCTTTATCCATTTAAACTCAAATTTGACCTAAAACTTGAAGGAATGCTTAATCTTAAATTGATTCACTAATCCATACATTGTCGAATATAGATCTCCGCCAGCTTTTCCACACCTTGATCTAATTTTTACTGTTTTCCGAAATTCTATCAAATGTCAAAAGTTCCTCAAGGAGGTTATCTAAAGAAGATTCTTCTCATTATTACTGAAATCAATTGGACATGAAATTGTTATAATTTTCGAAATTCAACTTATGATAATTCAATATAGGAAAAATTGTATAAAATACCAAACTATTGATTAAAATTAAATACTATAACCACAATGTCATTTAATTCTAATCCTTAGCAAACACTTTGTCATTCGTCTCTCTCCCCAAATTTCTCGCTCGCCAGTGTCTCTCTCGCCTCTCCCACTTTATACAAACACAAATGTATAAATTATGTTTGTGTTTGTATAAAGCTAGAGAAAACTGTATATATACATATCTTTTCGTTCGCCTCTCTCCCTAAAGAATCTCGCTCGTCAGTCTTCCAAATCTCCCTCGCCACTCTCACTTTATACAAACACAAATGTATAAATTGTGTTTGTGTTTGTATAAAGCGAGAGAAAACTGTATATACAAATACATATATTTTGGTCGTATACACTTATAATTATATAAAGGGTAAAGGGTCTGATATACCCCTTAACTTTGTCATTTAGAGCTGATATACCCCTCGTTAGGAAAGTGACTTATATATACCCCTACTTATATACAAATTGCTCACATATACCCTTTTCCTTTAACGGAAATGAAAAAAATTAATTTTAGGTTAATTTTTTATTATTTAAAAAAATATATATAATCCCATATGAGTATATTTAATCCTCCTCAAGCATATATTTTTTTTTAACTTTTTTTTTTGTTTCAATGACTAATTTAGATTTTATTAATTTGATGGTCAAATTTATTTATGTTTCACTAATATTCTTGTAAAACTTATTATAGATGACCAATTTTTTTTCTTCAAATACAAAAATTAAATTACAATATAGACAAAAAAAAAAAGTTTTAAATTATAATATAGCCACAAAAAAATAGTTTTAAATCTATTTCTTTACACTAAGAAATGAAAGAAAAAAATAAAATAAGAATAAGAAACTCAAATAATTATAATAAAAGAAGTCAAAACATAATTTATGTATGAAAAAGATTAAAATATACCTTGAACTTTGCTAGAAGAATCATATATACCCCTAAATAATTTTTAAGAGAATTAAAAGTCAAAAATATAAATTTAAAACTAACTTTTTTCACTTCCGTTAAATGAAGGGTATATGTGAACTCATTTTGTAACGGTAGGGGTATATGTGAGCCGTTTGTATAACGGTAAAGGTATATATGAACCACTTTCATAACAAGGGACATATCAATTCCAAATGACAAAGTTGAGGGGTATATCTGGCCCTTTTCCCTAAAATAAATACAGATCTTCCCCTGCCCAGTTCTCTTTTGTCTATCTCTCTTTCTCGCTTTATACAAACACATATTATACAAATTACAATATACAATTTGTGTTGTATAAAGCGAGAGAGAGAGATTTGATATACAAATGTTTATTTCGATTCAATTGTGTACAAATTCAAATTTTATGCAGTAATACAAACACAATCATTGATAGATATACATAGTAGGTACATATATACAATTACCTAATCGATATACATATACAATTGCTGCGCTTTTATACAAACGAGAGGCCTGCCAGCGATTTATACAAATTTGATGTCTATAGCAAACATAAAGTTTGTTATGCTATGGAGCGCAATTATGCAAACTATAGTTATAGCAAACAAATATAATTTTTATGTTTGCAAAACCTAAAATTTACTTTCCAAGTTATATTTATTTCCAAACACAATTCTAGTTTCAAGGAGTACAATTTTTCTACTTTTTTCCAAACATATTTCTTTTTAAAATTTCACATTTTTTATTTTCAAATGCCCCTAAAATTTGGGGGAATCTAATGGTCCTTGTGGTGTGATCAAAAAATTAATAAACCAGTTCAAATCTTACCAAAGAACAAAATAAAATATATTAGATTATTTCTTTCAGTCTGCATAAGCCTTAAACATATATCTAGTTCTACCGACAAAGGACGAAGAGTAATTGATCAAATTCACAGACGTTCCTAAGAGGAAACGCTTACGATATTAGAACTAGTGAGTACACGAGTTACCCAATACATGTGTGTTGAGGTAAGGTAGTACGTACTAGTGAAATAGTCGAAGAGTGCATAAGCTGACTCAGAACACTACCATTAGACAAAGAAAATGAGAAGCAGTGGAGGAATAATTTGCATATATGTTTCATTTGATGAAAATTGTACACATCTATCACTTTGACAAATAATACAAGGAGTAAACCTATATCCTACAGTTCTTCACTTCCAATGAATTTGAGAAAGGCAAAAAAAAATGCAGGAGAAATATGATCATATGTAAACTTTACGTATATTAGTTCCTCCTCGAGGCACAAAAATTCTTTACGTTTTCAGTTTGTGTGGAATGTAATCCCTGAACTTTGGCCAGTCTGCACGACTGTTCTGTAATTAATCGATATGTTGATGGACTCTCCCATGGAACAACTCCATATTCGTCATTGAAACGTTCCATTTTTTCAACAAGGAACTGCCAGAAGAATGATCCTGCCCCGGACTTGTTTCTTTTTGCAGACTTGTATAAGACATCAAGAACCATTTTGAGGAATCTGTCCCGCTGAGCTGGTTCAAAATCATCGTTATCATTTGATAAACCAAATTCAGTGAATAATACAGGCTTTTTAAGTTCCTTGTCACCGTCTTCAATGTGAGAAAGCATCCATTTGGCCGCAAATTTCAACATTTCATCAAAATTCTTGTGGTGAAACCTACAGAAAAAAAGAGTCTCACATACATGAAATCTGTTTTGAAGTGACGGATGGCCATTCAACTAATAGTTGAGTTATTATCTCAGAAAGTCGTCACCCTTCTTCTTGATTCCATTTTATTTTTCAACAAAGAAAGTGATTTTCTGAGATAATAACTATTAGTTGAGTGAATTCAACCAGCTGCAGAAGTTGTAAGAGTGAAAACAACATTTTGCTTGATCAGACAAAATTCCAAGAGAAGTCCTACACGTGCTCCTAAACATTTTTCTTCTTCCATTCATCACTAATTCACAAAATTAAGCATAAGAAAATCTTACCAATGGTCGGGATACACATGTACAGAGGCAAAATCAACAGTTGAAAGTATAGAGTTGCGGACAAAATCGGATCCAAGATCAGCAGCCCAAATTTCTGGATTGGCAGTTGTCTTTTTGGGACTTTTAGGACCATAGAATCCTTCAAGACCCACTGTTAGCAGATGTTTCCTGTCAATTGATTTCACGAACGTTGACATCTCTTCTATCCAGTCCTGAAATTGACATAATTCTATTAATGCTTACCCATGTAAACGTTCAAGTAAGCAGAATCTACTCTTCCAGAAATGATTTCATGAAAACTTACTAAAAAGAAGAAAAAGACCACACCCTCGGAAATTTGTATGGCAAATGTTGGTATGTTTAAGAGGGATTAGGGAATGAATACGAATTCTTCTGACCAGTGTAACAACCGATTAATTCATTTCCAATACAAAAAAGCGTCTATCTGTTTTGGACGGAGAAGTAACTAATTATGGACGTCTAAGTGAGGCCTCATAAGCTCAGGACAAATACTACTCATGACATAATTGGATGATTTGTTCTCAAGCAAAATCCAATCGAACTGCAGAGATTAGATCGAGGAAAACCACCACCTTCTAGATGAACTGCATAACAGTCTCACTAAACGATGGACTGCTCTGTTGTTCAAACATTTAACTATTAAATTGAGGTCAAGTTAGAAGTTACCTGGAGTGTATCACCAGAAGGATCGGTCATGCAACGAGGTTCATTAATTAGCTCCCATGCAAAGATGGTTGGATCATCCCTGTACTCTATACCAGTGTATATGTTCCTCCTGGTTAGAACTGTCTGGAAAGATGAAATAGAATGATGAATTAGGTCAGTACTTTAGCGTAGAAAGTAGCTTTGATATCAACTCCACGATGTCCTATGTGAGTGCAGACAAAAAAGCCAACGAAACCTTGGCTCGTGGTATGGTCTAAAATTTAAGTATGTTGTAATCCTCAAAATAAATGCATCTCTTTGTGGACAAACAAAGATGAGAAAGAAAATGCATCTTTTTGTGGGCAAACAAAGAAGATTATAAGACTCAGGAATACAGACATAATTCATTTCATTCATAAGACAAATGTTGCTGCAACATTTGTGGATATTCATTCAGCCTAGGAAATTACAACTGAGGAGCTCCACAGCCTTACGAATCCCCATGCCTCTCCACATTGGAGTTTTGTGGAAGGCGGAAAAGCAAATGAGTCGGCAACTTACATCTGAGCTATAGGATTTAAGGTCTATCTCAGTTAGAGATCAAAATTCAGAAGTCCTAGTATGAGTTACTTAAAACAAAGGCGAACAAATGACTTGCCTTGATAATAGTTTCTCTAATAGAAAATAGAAGTTCACATCCGTGGAATAAATAAATTTTCCCAAGGCCTGTATGGTAATGTCTTGAATGGAAAACAATATGCAAACTCGTGGATCGAATAACTTCTTGAACAGAGATAAAAGATATTTTTGAAATAACGGCGGATGGATGGATGTAATGTATCTTGTTACCATCCTCCAAATAAAAATTGCTGCATTTGGAAACATACACTTGCGGAGCACAAGGTTATACATGCCATTTCAAAGGAAAATTACCTTGACATAACTTTTGAAATAACGACGGATGGATGGATCGTAGAAGAACGAATCGTTGGAAGAGCTTAAAGCAACACCTTCATCCCACGCCCACTTTACATACTGAGTCTTCCCACCATACGCTTGCAGATTGTTAACCAAACTGAGTAGCAGCCTGATTCCATTTCTTCTGGCTTCTGCTATAACATGATCTAACGCCTGCAGCAACGGAATTCTATATCAAACAAAAGAATCCAGAGGCAGAAAATATTAACTATATAGATAATTTTTCACAACAAGAGCTAGGAGTAAGCTACTTGAAAGCAGCAAGAGTCTATGAACCAGAAAAAACTACTGGATAGATGTATAATTATGAAATTAAGCTCCCGTTTAGCTATAGATTTTGAAGTTAAAACTTGAAAAAATTTGAAGTCTTGTGAATGAAAGTCCTAAAAACTGGTCTGTGCCGGAAACTTGAAAATCAAATTTCATGGCTAAACAGATATTCGAAGATAAAATCTCAAAACCGGACAACACTCATGTCCTAAGCAATCATATCCCAGATTGGATATAGCTTTTGTGTAAAGATTAAAGCAATCATACCCCAGATTAGGTAACTAATGAATTCCATATTTTTAACTTAAATCAATCATAATTAGAGCACATACTTTACGAACAAGAGATCATTACTAACTAACATAACAATTATGGAATAATTACTCTAAAAGGGGTTAGTACTAAAGTAGATGACATAACTAATCCAAACAACACTAAAAAATTTCTTACCCTGAACACTTTCTCATCAAATTTTCCAGGTGAAATCTGTAGAGCATTATAACCAGCATCATTGAAAGCCCAAGTTCTACAAACAGTAAGTCCCATCTTAGCACCAGCTTGAAGCATTGTTCGAATTCGCGGTCGAGTATTATAATCAGCAGCATGGTCCATTAACCAGTAAGAATTCCATCCATTAATGTAAAAAACTTTACCATCAACAAAGAACTGAGTTCCATTCCTCTCAACAAAACTAAGGTTTATTTCTTTACTGTAATTAACCCATAAATCCCCAAATGACAAATACAGAAAAGCAATAAATGATGCAAACCCAATAATTGGATAAAACAAACCATTTCCTGCTAACATTCTGTTCATAGATGATTTAACCATCACCACTAAAACAAGAAAAACAACAACAACAGCCCCACTAGTATTCAAGAATCCCTTTGAAGTTCAACAATAATAAAAATGCTAACTTTAACCTCTAAATCTAAGATTTTGATGAAAATATGGGGGTTTTTACACCTTAGATCTCTTTTTTACACCAATATTAGAAACCCCACATGGAAAAATATGATTTGAAACAAGAATCAGATCCACTTTAGGAAATTTACTTCAAGTGGAGCCAAAAAATCAAGAATTGAAAATTTGAACTGGGGTTTGTCTTCTAATGGCTTCTAAATGGTGGCATTTATATATGTAACAAAAAAAAGGGTACAACTAACATGTAACCAATCAAAAACATCATCATAATTTGAGAAAAAAGATGAATGAATTGAAGAAGAAGATGACAGTGAGGTGGAATGTTGGTTTTCAATAATGCTTTAATTAGATCTGAAATCTTGATTTTCTTAGCTTCTCTAGTAAATTTTTTTCTTTTTTTTCAAGAATAAAAGTTGTACCAATAGTTTCATACTTTGAGCCATTGTTGATTTAGCTTTTTTTCTATACTATATATTATAAAATTATAGTATTATTTTTGTAATTTTATATTCTTTGGTCATGTGGCTACTCAACTTGTGAGTGGTTGTTAGTTTCACCAGAACCAAAGATAGTATACAGTATGTACTGTAATTAAAGTTTTTATCTTTAGCATATTATTTGATGAAATGTTCATAAATTAACTGACAAAAATGGCTTCTAAGATTTCCAAAATTTTCATTGCCCATGTGAGAACTGACCAACCTTTTTATAGTTTCTTCATTTTTAATCCACATCATTGGTGGTTTCATAATATTGATCCGCGAAATAAAATACTAGGTGATTTCTTCTTATTTGTTTTAATTTTAATGAATAGGGTTATTTGATATTTATTGTTTAGATATTGGTGAGAGATGCCATGTATCTCATAAAATTAATTGAATCCAAACGTCACAATTATTACAAAAACACATTATTTATTTTTGAATTAAATATAAAACTAAAAAAATATCATATAATATGAACAAGTATTTTAAAATGTGGGGCGTCAAACGAGGCGTTTTACGTAGCATGAGGCAAGACGAAAGCCTCAAAACATAAAACGTAAGTTTTATGGATTTACGAGAAGTATATCTCATATATCTTCAATTTTATAATATTAACACTATGAAAATAAACAAAGATAAAATTTTCAATAATTCTATAAATAGATTCAAACAAGTCACCAATATAAAGAATAATATTACAATTATTATTTAGAAAAGTAACAGCACAAGAAAATAATAATAGTCAAGATGATCTTTAAAATGAAATCTTCATTATTGCATCATTGATCTTCACTTCTACTAGTCTGTCTCATCCTTACCTAATATTTGAATTGATTATTATTTACATATTTCAAAAGAATATGATAAGAAGTATAAGAGCAATGACAAAAAGTCGTTTAACTTATTTCAGAATTATAGTGTTATGAAATTTCTATTTTATCAATTTCAATCACAATTATCTAAAAAGTTATTTATGTCGGTATCATTTTTCTATGATAGTTAACGTTACTTTATTTATTTATTTATTTCTTTTAGAAATATGCACTACAACATGAAAATATGATAGCGTAAAGTATAATTATTATTATACCAATAATAAAAAAACACGATTTATAAAAAAAATTTGAAATAATAAAACAAATTCAACATTTGAGACTTACGCTTTTATATTCAAGCTTATGATATTATACTCAGAAATTACGCCTCAAAATTTAGGACGTACACCCTACCGATCTGCACCTTTTATTTGCCCCTTGAAACGTTTTGGTACGCTCCACCTCAGAACTCTCCTTGAAACTCACCTCGAACACTTTAGAACACTAAAATGAACAAAATAACAATAATAAATTTATATATATTTTTACCTTAATTTATCACCTAACCATGACTAATTAGTGTGATTTGTCGAGAAATACAATACTTAGGAAAATGTTCACTATTGGTAGTCAAATAATTAGAGAAAAGTATTATGTGAAGGTTACGTCCATTTTAATTAATTAACAACACCAATCAAGCCCATTTTCTTGCCGATTTTTCTGGAGCTTTTACATATTTGTATTAATTACTTTGAATTAAAAAATGGAAATGGTCCACAAATAAAGGAGGAATTTTTTGAAACCCTAATTTTACACTCCAATATATTCTTCTAATTTTTTTCATAATCTATTAACTATTTCGAAAACAATAATTTTTTTTCTCACGATAACATATCTAGTATAATATTATAAGTGGGGTTTGAGGAGGACAAGATATACACACAAATCTTATCACTATCTTTATTGGATATAAAAGTTATTTTCGATAGATCCGCGACTCAAAAGTATATATGTGCTACTATAAGAAAATAGCAATATACAAAAAAAACTAAAGCAACATATAGTAATACACATTGAAACAGGGGCACAATTAGTAAGGAGTGAGGAGTTCATGTGAATTCACTTCGGCAAAAAAAATTACATTGTTTATACATGATTAAAATTTATTTTTTTATGTATATGTAGCAAATGTTAAACTCCGTTCGACTTCTTCATATATTTAATTTTTTATGTTTTGAACCTTCTCAATAAAAATACTGACTCCCCCGCTACATTAAAAGGTAAGAAATAAACTTGGGAAAGATGTTATTTTCACTAGAAAAAGAAATTTTACCTTAAAATGGGAAAAAAGAATACAACAAACAAGTTAATTAAACACGTCAAAACACTAATCTAATTAATCCAAATTATGGATATTTACCAACTTTGTTTAAGATGTTGCCGGACTTAAAATAATCAAATGATGTGTCTAACTTATAAATTAGAAAATAATGATGTTGAACAACAGTTTGGTAAAAGGTTAGTACTCATTAATCCACTCAATGAACTAATTGATTAACATTTAATTGCACGCCTAATCTTCCAAATAGATTCTTTTTTACTTTTTTGTTCTTAGAAAATCAAATTTATGCCTATCCAAGTATAAATTCTTTAAGAATACGATTTATAATTTGTAAAATATTATGATGCAAAAATACAAAAGGCAAAAACTGCAAATGACCATTGATAAATCCTTAATTAATAGGTTCCCAAGTCACTTTAGTCAAATGTTAAATTGTAGTCCATCATTATCTATGGTTCAAATGGATAAATCATACTATATAGTTTGATAATCATAATAGATTCTTTTAATTCAAAGTTCAAAAGTAATTATTGCCTATAAATATTTAAGCATTTCGTGAATGCACAACCTATTAGCCTTTTTGGTCATTTATATATATTTTTTTGGTAATTAAATAATTTTATTTATACCAACGTGAGAATTACATAATCAAAAAAATCTGACCTCTATTACTTAACAATTTTTTTCCCAAAACAAAAAACACTCTAAGATATTGACTACATATTCTTTATCTATTACAACTTGATTATCGATACTAACTTACTACAGTTTCCTAAGTAATTTAATATGTTTGAGCTTCAGACTCCATGTTTGTCATATCAAACTATTAACTCTAATATTAATTATAGAGCTAAAATAACTTTAAAATATATATCCTTAATATGGTATAATTAATATATATTTTTTGAATTAAGGATGTGTTCGATACGAACTAAAAATAGAGGCGGAGCTAGGTGGGAGTTCGGGTTCGGACGATCCTAGTAGCTTTTCTGTAGACCTTGTATTTAGAACCCCCAAACTCTTAATGCTAAAGGAAATTGATTACCTGTTCTAAAGGAAATTTAGAACCCCCAAACTAATCCTAGCTCCGCCTCCATCTAAAAATATCTGCTTAATATAGTTAGGACTTTGTTTCCACTTCACATACACTCAATAAAAAAAAAAGTGCATATTGATTCTTTCTACAAAAGGTCATAAAATTGCCAACCCAAAAATTAATTATTGTCCAACTTACTATCTAAAGTATCACTATTATTATTATATCATCCGACAATAATTTTTTCATCATAAAAGCATTCTATTCACGGGAATAAACAAATCAACTTAATTTATGATTAAGGTCCCCTTTTTGACATTAAAAATAAATTGTCTAGATCCTATGATAACAAAAAAACATATGATATTGTTAAATTAAAATTTAGGTTATAAATGTTGGTAAAACAAGTAGACTTTACCTTTGTATTTTAATGTTTTTATTTTGACTAATATAGACGCTTCCCTTTTTAAAAAATAAATAAATTTGGTTGTGGTCAATAATTGTGACTAATTAGATTTAAGGAGTCAATCACGCTGGTCTTTTCTACCCATGCTTTAAAATATGGAATTTTGACCATAAGGACCACCTTGTCATTCTTTGTAAAAGTCGAACAAAATATCTGAATCTTCTCGTAAAAAATATAATATAGACAATTTATTTAATGTAAATATTATTGATTGTTTTTATGATTTAAACTCACTACTTATAAATCACATATAAATTTAGACTTTATTTACCTTTTTAATTGTACTATATCAGCCTCATTCCATATGATATTTTAAAAAGGAAAAAAATACGCTTGCTTATAATTTTCACAACCCAATAAACAAAGAAAAAATTGAATAGCAAAAGGCAGGTTCGGATCTAGGATCTCGCAAAGGTGTTCATCGAAATCCTTTCACCATAACATTAATATCGTATATATATAGATTTTGAATTTCTTAAACACAAGAATAAAGTTCAAAATTCACTTTGATGTTTCAAGTTTAAAACACAAGCATTATTTTTTTTTATTCCTCTTAGTGAGAATCTTGTACAACTTTCAATTATGGATCAACAAACATATAATTTTGGCTCAATTTTTTATATGTTGAAAATTTACTAATTAAATACAAATGATGGATTTCAAATTCAGTAAATAAAATGAGTTATGATAGAATTACAAACTCAAAGTCATAATATACAAATTTTGAATCCGTATATGTGAGAATAAGACCAAAACTCATTACGAAATTCATTGACATGTCACATGTCATTGCACAAATAGGGATCGTAGCTTTAGAAAAAATGTTGTCCGATTATTATTTGAATAGAAAAAAATTATCTGATAAAATTTTCTTACATAGAAATTTTTATTCATTTCATAATTATTTTTTTTATAATTAAGATATAATGATTTATATAATTGCATAACATAATAGAATAGTAGCAATGAACAATAATGCAATAGCCACCGACAGTAAATTGTAAGGATTGCTCACGAGGGATCATGGTCCTCAAGAAAAAAAATAATGATATTTTTAAATAAAAAGTTAAATATATAGACAACCTATTAAATTATTTCGTATATTTAATTTAAACATTTGAATTATGACTTGTTCTAATTAAATCTGAATATATATATATATATTATAAATGTTTCTATTACAATTTGATGCCTTTAATAATCTGTTTAGATATTCCATATATAACAAGTCCAAATAGAAAATAAAATAAAGGGTCCATTTGCTTTAATCCAATCTTAGCTGGAAAAAAAAGGAATACTAGGCTTACATATGATTATAATTAAGGGAGAAAATTCTGAAAAATATTTCAACTTTGGCCGAAATTGTTGTTATGATACCAAATTTTATGGAGGACCTTTTACCCTTGCACTATTTAATAGTGTATTTTAAAGGTATATATGTGCCCACGTGGACACGTTACTATTTATAATGATGCAATATTTATGATGTCTACGTGGGCATATATATACCTTTAAAATACATTATTAAATAGTGCATGGGGCTAAAGGTCCTTTCCAAAGTTCGATATTGTTACTACAATTTCGATCAAAGTTCGAATATATTTCAGACTTTTTTCCCTATAATTAAATGTGACACATTAATCCTCTCATTATCCATCTAACTAGATGTTAATGATTATTCTACAAAGTCATAGGTTTATGTATATACCATCCACTTAAGCATGCATTAAGAAGAAATGTCCTCCTTTTCATAACCTTAATAAGAATTTTTATTTAGATAGTTCATATAAGGGGTGTCAAATGAGTGAATTGGACTGAATTTGAGAATATCAAAATTGATTAAGTTAATAAATGGGTGAGTTATTAATCCGCTAAAATGTTATTTGGACTGAAATGAGCTTAAAACATTTTATAATCTGATCCGATCAACTTTTACTTTCTTTTAAATTCAAAGCTTGTTTGAGTACCTAATAAAAAAAATTTACACTTATATTATGACTATAAACTAAGCAAGTTATTACAAGTCCAAACATAAATGAATTGAACGAATCATGATTTTATTGACTGATTTTGACGCCCCATGGTTCATATAATTCATCTAATACTGTCTTGATTTAAGATTTCAACTATTCATGACTTAAAATAATATTATTTTATTAAATAATTTTTCCAGGGAGGCAGGGACTATGCCAGATTGGTATTGTCTCTAGTAGGGTCCAAACTCTTTGTAGTCTTCTAGTTAGTATCTTCCAAATAGTATTTTTTTATATATATCTAATACAGTCCAATAAGAGATAGGTTTAAATTACAATCCATTCATTATTAATATCGGGATAACATATTTCCCTATTAAACAAATCATTAGGGGTTGTTTGGTATGAGAATGAGATAAATAAAATTATCCAATAAATTGTGATATCTCATGAAATAAGGTATTCCGCCATTTATATATGTATAACGATGTGATACATAATTTCGGGACTAATTAATACACATAATCAAACGATGGATAAAATAATCTTGTATTTTATCCCTAAATTATTGGCAGAAATAATGTTCTTGATTCTATTTTGTGGAGTAGTTACCTGGGCCAGTATGTCAATGAAGCCCATTAAAGTATAGAGAGGCCCAACATTCAAGCCCAAGATTCAGCCCCATCCTCTTTGGACTAAGTGTCTAACTCAACTAATAGAAATTTCACGAGTTAAGTTTAGAAATGATCCAATGATAGTGGTGTCATTTGAATTTTAGTTATTTTTATCTAAACTTCAATCATTTATAATTGAAGTTCATTTAATAAAGAGAAATTAAATTTCAGAAATAGCAAACATGATAGACATAAATTAAATTTCAGAAATAGCAAACATGATAGACATAAATTAAATTTCAGAAATAGCAAACATGATAGATATAACAAGGCTCTATAGCTATAGTTTTGATAATTGTGCTCCATAGCTATAGTTTTGTTTGCTATGAAGGCCGCGGTTTGTATATTTCGCTTGCGAATATACAAATATGGTAAGTATATACAAAATTTGTATTTATACATTCAAGAATTTTTCTGAACTCCGTTTGTATATTTCGCTTGTCAATATACAAAAATGGTGATTTATTATGAATTTTTCATAAATCGTATACTATTAGTTAAGGTAATTAAGCATATACAAAATTCTCGATTTTTTACAAATCATGTGATATATACAAATCAGGAGAGTAACAAGAATTGAAAAATTGTAACTGCAAATTACAATTTTCTTAAACTATAGCTATAATACCTAATATTGGCTAAATATTTACTATTTTGCATGATTTTCCCTTCTTTTTTTTTCTATCAAAAGGATAGTTATATTATAATTAAGTAGTGTCAAACATATTGTTTGTTGCAGCATAATCAAATGTTAAGTTAGTACAAATGGCTAAAGAAGACGAATATGATTGAACTTTAGACACATAAAATTGAAAAAACTTTAGACATTATATTTGAAGTTAGATTTTTCCAAAACTATCTAAAAATGTACAAAATAAGGTATACATACAAATAAATAAATAATAGGCATAAGTTAAATAACAACGTCAAAATCGAAAACAAATATATGCATCCTTGAATAATGTTCAATTTGCAGGTGGTCCAAATCAAATACACATTGATTGGTGAGCCCGCATTCAATATTTATTGTAAACTAAACTGACCTCTTCTTCGAACACTCACTTAATTATTTATTGGGAACAAAAAATGAAAAAGAAGACACTTAATTCATATATTATTGTTAATTAACGCAATAGATACATGACAAAACTTGCACTAATCTCAGTATTAAGATTTTGCATCTTTTTAAACACATGCATTGCTTGTTCATTCACTCAAATCCCTACTAAAACACACACTCCTAAATCCAAGAAAGGAGGTTTAATTTGAATTTTTTTGGATGGTCTGTCATAAATTAATATTACTTTTTCGTTTTCTATTGGTTGTACATGATACTAAAAATAATTATTTTTCTTCTTGTCAATTTATAAAATTAAGATGGAATTTATTTGGTTTTTCTTACATCAATTAAACAAATTTTTAAACTTTCAATCTAAATTTTGAAGAAATAAGTAAAAAAAAAAAATGGACAACTAATATGAGACCGAACGAGCTGTACTATCAGTGTTTGTTACACCTATCCTCCCCTCTATCCCACAACTTCCATAAAGAAGCTCACACGATTTTCTTGTTTTGTGCTTGAGTGTACTTCATCCACATTACAAGTACTTTCTCTTTTTGTGTTTAAGAGGCAAGTTTTTTTTTATAATACGAAGTTGTTTGGTGAAGAGTGTTTTATTTTCGAAGTATGATTTTTTCGTTCAAATTCATATTAATCGAGCTTTATAATCAAGCCTTAAAGTGAGTACCAGATACGTGACTCTAAGTGGAAAACCAAAAGAAAAATATATTACTCCTTTTTATTTCAACTTACATGACATTTTAATCAACCTCAATGTGATAAACTATAGATAGCTACATAAACTCCCATAATTTGTTTTAGATCATAAATCTAAACAAAAGTATTCTTAAATTGAGAAAAAAAGTAGTAATAAGCAAAAAAAAATAAAAAATTGCTAGAGCTACAAAATGGAATCCCATTTAACATTATATGATACATATTGTTTGATAACATCTTCTTATAGAGCTTTCCAAACCCTAATACTCCCTAAATCTTAACTACCAAAAAAAAAAAAACTAATTATACACAAACTAATTTAGAAAGAAATTACCATTACAATTTCCTAATTGCCCAACCACTAGATGGTTTTCTCGTCTGTTCTAGCTTTGATGAATAGAGTTATCTCATATTTGTTACTCGTTCAAGTGTGGAAAAGCTAGCTCGAACACCACGATCATCCATCGAATCCTAATTGCCCAAAATAGAGTCAATGATCATCAACACCATTTTGTGGTTGTTTATTCCTTGAAATAAGAAGAACAAAATAAGCAAGAACAGCACAAAGAGCAGCAACAACATTCCCTTCTTTAATCAAAATCTTAATAACAAATCCAATAATATCAAGAGTCAATTTCTTGCCTTCTAACATCAAATCCCTTCTAGGTTTTCCAGCAAAAGTTAACAAAACCAATATTGTAATCCAAGTTACCAAAGTAGCTGGTAACACTACAGCTAAAGCTGCCACCATTGAAAGAACCCCAAAAGCTACACCTAATAACACAGATGCATACAAAGCAGGCCACCCAGAAGAAGAAATTGAGATTGTGGGGTTTGAGGAATCAGCTGAAATAGTCGATTCGTACCATGAAAGTACTGATTTGAGAAAATTCCAAGAAATCGATAGCAAAATTGCGTAAACAGAGATGAATAAGAAGACCCATGTTCTTCTTTTGCTCATGATTTTGAAGAAGAATACAGAGGAGATTATTGATTCAGTTTCTTCGATTTGGGTTTCTTGTTGTTGTGCCATTTAATTGAGCTTATTTGGGTATGATTTGATGGCTTTTTTGGACTTCGATTTTTCCTCAATGGGTTTCTATTTTCTTCACTTTTTCTGCTCTGTTTTCTGGTAAAACAAGGGGATAATATTAGAATGATTTTATTTTACCCTAACAAGATACAACGCGCTTGTTATACTGCGTGGTGTCAGTCGAACCCGATGCAGAGAGTATTTCGCGTTAATCTTTCTCTCGTCTTCACACAAGATATATCTTGATGTGAGAAACGGAGTTTATGTGGGAGTTTGTAGGTTCAGACAAATTTTGTAGCTTTTCTGTAGATCCTATTAGGGGTGTGTATTTGGTTTTTCGGTTTGGATTTTTTGATTTTTAATTTTGTAAAAATATAACCCAATTTGATCCAAAATAAATTTAATTTGGTTTGGTTTGATTTTTCTCTATTCGGTGGCTTTTTTCGGTTTGGTTATTCGATTATGTCAATAATTAATAACATAATCAACATAACAATATTGAATCCCTTAAATATACTTTCTAATATAAATCATAAGTAAAACTTAAAACACAATATTTTTTAGTATACCTATTAAAGATGTTCAAACATAAAATATAGACGTAATTATCATGAAAGACAATAATAAAAAAAGGACAAAAAGTGGTTAACTCTAATTTATATGTATGTAAAATTTGGTTTTTTTGGTTTTTATTTTTTAAAATCCAAAACCAAACAAAACAATTTATTAATCCAAAACCAATCCGCAAAACCAAAAAACCAATCCGAATAAAAATTTGATTTAATCCGAATAATGCACACCCCTAGATCCTATATTTGTATTAGAAAATTAATTAAATACATATATATTTTAATTTGTGAATCCCTAACAAAATAAATTGACTGTTCTTAAGGAAATTTAGAACCCTCAAATCCTTTATCTTGACTCTGCCTCAGCTTGATGTAGATAACTTATTCTAATACAAGCACTAATGATTTCAAGTCCCCTTGGGTACAATGTCGTCTTTGTTAGGAAGCGGTTTACTTCCTAATGTGAGACTTTCTGACGCAAATTTGGATTTAGTCGTGCTTTAATGTGGGTACGTAGGAAATCGAAAAGATAAAAATAAGCTTTGTGTATACTCTACAGTCTTCAAACCCCACTTAATGAAACTTTACTGTATATATTATCATTGTTGTTCAATTTATGATTTATAAGTTGATTACACGAAAATAACTTTATCGTTATTCTGAGCTACTCCATTTCTAATATCCTAATATGAAAAAGAAATTATTTTAACCTTCTAGCTATGTGTCAAAATCAAAATACTTTTATATTAAGGAGATTCGTAGATATAGTGCATAAATTAGTGATAAAATTGGGCGTTGGTATGTGATATTTAACTAAGCATATTTAATATTTAATTGATTAAAATATATACCCATAAATTAGTGATAAAATATGGTGTTGGTATGCAATATCTGATTAAGTATATTTAATGTTTAGTTGATTAAAATATAAGCTTTTAATCACCGTGCTTGTGAATTTTTCGAGTTCAACGATTTACTTACTATTGAATAATTTAATTACTTGTGTACATGTTGCAATATATATTATTATTTCATATTTAAAGATAATGTAAATTTAAAAATAATTTAAATGCAATATATTTAATATGTAAAGGGACAAAAGGGGTATTTAATCAATTTCAAGAAACATCACAAGAACCACCCTTAGAATTTACCATTATCAAAAATAACATTATCCCGTCTTATTAGCTATATATAGTTTATTTATATGTTCTTGTTTCTCAAATCCGATTAGTAACAGGTGACTGAAAATAATAATAATAATAATAATAATAATATCTATTTTGCCTTTGCCTTCTATATTAAATCGTTTCTACAAATACTTTATTCTTTTCGAACCACACTTTTTGAATTTAATTTTGTCGTTGTTTTTGTTTCACAAATTAAAACTTGAGAGTTTGTCACTTCAATAAAACAATTGAACATTAGATACATTTTTTTGTGTCATGAAACTAGAATTAATGAGCTATTACTGTTTTTTCCCCGAACAAGACAAAGTAAAGGCCCTTCTCACCTCTTTCGAGTCGCTTGGTGAAAAGAACTTTTTGAATAAGATAAAAGAATTTGAAATTATTAATTTCTTCCTCCAAAAATTGAGATGAGTCGATGTCATTGATTCGATTTTCATATTAGTAAAATGTATTAATGCATGCTAGGCTGAGTCACTATGAAAGGCATAAATCACCTACGGGACAGTACAGAGATAAAATAATGGCAGTAATGGGCACAAATATTTTATTTTTTTAATGTTTTTCTTGTGGGGGTAGGGGTCCAAAATTAAGTGTTTAATGGGTAACATTTATCACTCTTTTGAAACTCAAGTCTGTGTGTGGTCCAAGATTCTTTGCTGCTGCATTTCACAAGTATCGAAGCCTCGTTAAATTTGGATTCATGTCGGAAAATTTCATTCTGTAATCAAGGAAATTTGAACTTGAGACCTATGTTTAACAATGAATGAGTACTTAATAATCCACTTTGTTGGTTAGAGTGTTGTATTATGTGGTTGTTATAAAAAAAATTCCCATCAACTTAACTTTTTGAGACTTTGAAAACATCTTAAACTAACAAAGTTTAGAAAAGAAAAAAAATGAACAAAAGCTGCAAATGTACCACTCCATTGAGATATACAGAAAAAGTGACTTGAAACTTGAAAGCAACAAACTAGTAAATTTTTTGAACTTTTTTTTTTAAGAAGTCGTAATGTAACGGTAATTGATTGTCATGTGATAGAAAATCAAGGATTTGAGCCTTAAAAATAACCTCTTGCAGAAATGTAGGATCATTGTCGTTCTGCCCTTTTTCAAACCCTTGTGGTCTGGCCCTTTCGAATCATCCAGCTTAATATCAAAATTTTAACTAATCATACTTGTCCCTCCATGAACTAACAAGAAAAAACACCCAAGAAAGTGCAAGAACAAAATCACCAACAAGTTGTCTTGGCCAATCATAAGCTAAATCCTCAACTTTCCTTTCAAAATAAACTCTCCATAACGCCATTGATACATGAAGAAAGATACAACCTTTAGCGAAAAAGCTCTGAAACTCCCTGTCCTTAACAAACGACACCATGAATAACAATAACCCAATTACACATAACAGCAATCCAACAAATGAATCAGAAGTTTTTATCAACAATTGATCATGTGGGGTTGATCCCAGTAGCTTTCTCGCTGTTTCAATTCCATGTCCGAGAACAGATACTTCGTTCAGATAAAACATTATCAAAACACCACTAGTACTCGCTATCAGCGAATGAAGAACGCAGATTATGAAGAACCCAGATGATCCCATTCACGAAAATTGATATCAGATTAGAAAAAACCCCAAAACCCAAAGGAAATATTTCAGCTACTTAGATGTGAAATTGAACAAAATTACAGAGACCTATTTGTATTTGTATGGGTGAATTGAGAGTATCGAGAAAAATTTTGAGATCTGAGATTTGCGAATGGCAGAGTAGTACGGATTGAAACCCTAACACGAGAGATTCACGGGAGAAGACGGTTGATTACAGCTGGCGATATGTTATTGGTATGTGTGCATTTTGGAATTTGTTAGTATTGGATTTCGATTTTATTCAACTTGTCGCCCCGTCATATTATTTGTTGTTACTATACAAATTTCCCCGAAAGGGCCTCTACTCAGCACAAATTCAGAATAATCAATACTTCAATTTGATACCAAACAAAGAGTGGAAAACAAAAACTCAAATAGTAACAAGAAGGGAAGCCTGCAGAAAATAAATCTAAAGATGATGCTAAACAGAAGTATAGAGTGAGCAATTATGAAGAGTGAATGACCCATAACCAGTAAATGCAGCAGTATCATTGATCAGAGACGGCAAAATCTCAACAATGCAACATTTAGCTACAATAAATGTAACCATAATAGTATCATGTAACAGATCATTCAAGAAGCAAAAACACCTAAATTTCTTATCATTTATCTAAAGGCTCTAAATATCGACTAGAATTAACTGACAGCATAATTCAATTAAGTAAAACTGAAAACACACTATATCACTGTACTCTAACAAACAACATCTCACTCACTGAGACAAATGATCAAACACCTTCAAGGCGAACAGCACGCTTCGACAATCTAGGCGAAGTCCTTTTCACTGATTCAACTTTCTTCAAACTCTTCTTCTTCTTCTTCAATTTTTCAGTCTTAGCTGAAACCTGATTAAGCGCATCAACATCTTCATTCCTCCGGCTCCTCGTCCTCCCAGCAACACCTTCTTCCACATCTCTCTCCTCAAACTCAAGCTTTCTCACCATATCATCCTCAGATTCATCAACCAACCTCCTTTTCCTCTTCAACACATACGGAGCAGGCGGCATAGGTGGACTACTCTTCGTGCACGGAGCAACCGGAGAATCCTTTTCCGGCGTTTTTTCACGCTCTGCACGCAGCTTCTCGATGTTTCCTTCAATTCGGCCCTGAAGACGGTGACGCGTTAAGCTAACGCCACCCATGGACCAGTGAGCTTCCTCCGCCCATGACATTAATGGATCCAGGACGGAGCTTGGTGGATCTACTCGTTGTTCGTTGGGCTTGTAGAATCTAGGTCTAGGGAGGCTGCTGCCGTAGAATTTTCCAGGTTCTAGGGCTACCACCATGCTGCAAAACCTAATTTATCAAATGAAGAAGGGACTTTGAATTGAGATTTGATGAATTTCTATGCTAATTTTCTTCTCAATTTATAGCAAGTATAGTAATTGAAATGGAGGGAAATACTTTTGGAGGGAAACTTGGCGCCAAATATTTACCGCGCTAATTTATTTATTTATTTTTTGGATATGAATACTGAATGTTTTTTACTTTTTATAGATATTGGATAATGGAAATTATGTTTGAGTTTTGACTATAAAATTTTTGAATTCAATTTTGGAATTTTAGAAATACTTTAATTTTTCCCCACTTAAATCTACTAACGAAAAAATTTGATAAAAAATCCTTAATTTATATTAATGGTGAAATACAAATTCAATTTATGTGGTATTGTTTGATTCGATACAATATGTAAGAACAAAATGATTTTTTTTTACATTTATGATTTAAAATAATGTATACATATTTGATATTTGTGTAACTATAAATTATTTCATTAAAAAATAAAATAAAATTTAAAGTTTTTATTATGAACGAACAAAACAGAAAAGGATATTATATAAATTGGATAAACTAAATAATACTCCTTTTTTTTTTATATCTTCATAATTTTCATGGCCAATGAGATATTTAGCTTGTGCAACCTAAACCATGATTCTCCAAAAAGTAACAATGAAAGAACTAAACAAAATAGCTGCTAAGCTGACAGCTTAAACTTAAAATAATCAGTAAATAATATATAATATTATATGATTCATATATAATGCACATATAATTATGTATTGTTTGTGTATAATTTATGTACGTGATTAGAAAAAATAAATTGTTAATCTATTTGGCTATTTGTGAAAAAGATCTGGTATTTTTTGTTACAGAAGTATAATAGATTTTTTTTTCCTCTGTACAATTATAAACTTTCATACTAGTAACCAATAAGGGTTGTTCTGGAGCAACCAGTACTTCATTACTTTTAATTATAAGTATCGAATTAAAATTCTTCTAAATATTGAATCATTTTTGTTAGAAAACGCTTTTGTAAATGATTATAACGGTTTAAAAACTTGTGACCTAACAACTCCATGTGCAAATGCAATGGAAGCAAAGAAATTTCCATAATATTTCAATCAATTTTTCAATAAAAGGAAAGATGGTCTTTTTCAAAAGTCATAATCACCTTTGAGTCGTAGACCCCTCCAAACGACCCTACACTTGCCTACTAATTTATTTCCAAAAGACACGAAACTTCACTTCTTTGTTTTGTACTTTCTCGATCTCGATTTAAGTAAGTGTTTGATCATAAATTATGATTTATTGGTATCACATAATAACAATCTCAATCTTATATTTTGACACACCAAAAAATATAAAAACGTCTTTTATATATATAAGATAATTTTTTAACAAAAAAATAAAAATAATCACTCTCGCTCCTTCCAAGATCCGTCGCACATTTTTTCCAGGATATTCAGCCGAAAAGATATGATAAAAAAGACCGAAAGTATCTATCTGCGTAATATTCTACGATTTCGCTTAGTCAACAGGTCAACTCTAACAAATTATCTGCTGCAGCAGCGGACCACTGGAAGTTAATCTTCCTATTGGTAAATACAATTCTCATAACCAATGAAAACCTAACACGTGTCATCATATAGCGTAATATACAAAGCGTGTTCCTTCTAGCGTACGATTAGAAAACGCATTTCATAAAGCAACAAATATATCGCTCTCTCTAAAACCCGAATAGTTCATAGTGATAGTGTGTGCGTTAGGGTTTTTGGAATCACGGAGAATTTTTTGTGAAAAAATTGAAATTGCTGCGCTGCAATGGACGTTGAAATCGAAGAAATTTCTGCTCATGATGATTCTGTGAAGGTTAAAGACAATAAGGTATTTTGAATTCCTCATTTTTCGTGTTTTTTTTTATTGATTGATTGGTTGATCGCGATTGTTTTATGATAGGATTTTGGTTGGATTGATCATTGTGTATAATTGATCGCGAACTTTAGTAAGAGTTGCATTTTAGTGTTTTTGGTTAAATGTTGTTGTGAATATTACTGTATGATCATCGAAGAATTGTAATTGTGAATCATGTTGAATAGAAGAAATGATTGTGAAATGAATTTTGGAAATTGTTGTCTATAAGAGTGGGGTAAGGTCCGCGAACATTCTATCCTCATTAGATCATACTCCTGGGCAGGGGATTAGGGTTATAGAAAGTGATTTTGAAATTGTGCATGCAGTAATTGATGATTCCTATGCTTCAGAATGTTTACTGCTAGACTATTGTAATTTCTAAGCATGTGTAAATTAGTTTACGATTTGAAAAGCCATTTTCATTTGCTTTATATATTTAGTTTGTTTAACGTACAGGAGGCTATGACTGAGGATAGTCCAGATACTGTAGCTGGGTCCACATCTGGATCTACCGACTCTGGCAATAACAACAGTTCCAATTCAGACATAGCATATCATGAAGATCAGAATGATGGAGATGATGGGTTGGATGATTGTGATGATCTGTCAAACTATGATGATGATGAGGACTATATGTATTATGATGATGAGGATGATGAATGTGATTACTTGAGTATGCAGGCACAACTTGATAATGTTGATTTGCCCGCTGGTGTTGAGGCAACAGTTTCTTGGTTAAATGAACCTGCTCCTAGTTCAAAAGTGTCTTCCCAAGCTAGCTCTTCGAGTCATCTAGCAGGTGCTCAGACATTGAATCCTACACTTCCTGAGCATGCAAGTAGTAGCTTTGCTCAGGTCCCTGCTTCAAGCAATTCTTTGGTGTCTGGAGGATCAAATTCCTGTGGGAAGGAAGAGGTAACTGAAGATGAACTCATGAAAAAGTATCAAAGTTTTAAGCATTTTGATGTGGTAGAGGACTTCTCAGATCATCATTACAGTAACTTGGGCGTCAAGGGACAACAGGTAACTTGTAAGGGAATTTCTTGTGCTTTGCAGGTCATTTTCTGCTATTTTAGTTGTTTGTTAAATCATGAATGTGACTGTACTAACCTGTGCTATTACTTTTTTAACAGCCACCTAAGGCCTGGAGTAAGAAAGTTCAGGATGAGTGGAAAATATTGGAAAATGATTTACCTGGTGAGTCAGATGCTGTTAGTTAGTGACTTCATCGTATTTCATATCTTGGTTAATGTATCAATGTTTTCCTGCTGTTGAAGTCTTGTGAAAGTGGTATTTTTCTCAGTCTAACCTTCTTAACCTTCTTGTGCTGGCTATAATGGTAAATGCAGCAATTGACTCGTGTGATATGTGTGATTCATGAAAAGATATGTGTTGTTTCTGATGACATCCATTGCAATTTATATTTTGACACATTGTTTTGTCACAAGTAAATGATAGAATAGCGATTCTTGCTTTCCCATCTGTTTTTCCCCACCTCAACTCCCTTATCCGCTGCTAAATTTAGGACTCTATCCTGTTTGTGACATGTTGCACATTTATCTGCAATAATAGAAAATTTTGTGTGAATTTGATTCTGTGGGATGTCCTCTCATTGGTAGACTGCTGTAAATCTATCTGACTGTTTGAGGTTTATGTTGAACTCACTCTCTCTCTCTCCTTCAGATACAATATATGTAAGGGTCTATGAAGCAAGGATGGATCTCCTTAGGGCCGTCATCATTGGGCCACAAGGCACTCCATACCATGATGGCCTCTTTGTCTTTGATGTTCTGTTCCCTCAAAATTACCCTGATGTGCCACCAGTATGTATTGGAGTGTTCTTGTTTTTTTCTTTATTTTGTAGCATGGAAATATAAATGTATTTATTTACATATTTTCCCTTTTCATTAGATGGTTTACTACTATTCTGGCGGTTTGAGACTGAATCCCAACTTGTATGATTGTGGAAAAGTCTGTCTCAGTCTTCTGAACACTTGGACTGGTAAAGGTAACGAGAGGTGGATGCCCAATTCATCGACCATGCTGCAAGTCTTGGTTTCCATACAAGCTCTAATTTTGAATTCAAAGCCTTTCTTTAATGAGCCTGGATATGAAGCTTCATATGCTGGACTTGAGGGACAGAGGAGATCTAACTCTTACAATGAAGATGCTTTTGTTCTATCTTTGAAAACAATGACATATACGTTGAGGAGGCCACCAAAGGTATGATGTTGAATCATTTTCTGAACTTCTACTTCATTCAATTATTCTGTTGAAAAGTAACATCCAATTGTACTCCCAGTGTAGTCCAAAAATGTCTTTTCTGTTGAATTTCTGGATCTCCTGAGATTTCGCTGACTTCTTAATGACTAATTTAGTTGTTTATTGTAAATTAATGCCGTCCTTTTCTTTCTTTTTGTTAATTGGTGTCGCATTTAATCTGTCTGCAATACTGGTAACATAGGTTTATCTGGGAAAAAGCAATCTATAACCTACTTCATCCTTAAAATCTGTTTGCATCTTATGTTCTGTAATTTTTCTGCTTGCATATAGTCAGTAAAGTAATTAAGGAAGAAGGGAAGGTTCACAGTGTTAGGTATATACGGGTGAAAAGAAGTTGGTAAAATTAACTCTGTGGCTGCATCTTAATAAGTGATGTTTCAATTTGTTACTGTAAGTTGAATTTTTTTCTGCTTAGGTTCCTCAACATTGGGACCAAGTGCAGACAGTATCTGGTTTCGGAAACAAGGTTGGACGTGGTGGCAGAATTTCTTTCCTATATTCCAGTGGAAGAGCTATAAAGTTGAAAACAAAACTTATTCTACTCTTATTCATGTGTATCCAAACAAAGATATTTTAAAACAAATGGACAATCAAAACATATAACTATATAGTTCAGCAGTTTCTTCAACTAGTTTTGCAGTCGGAGTGATAATGGATGTTTGCAGATGTAAATGGTGCAAATAGCTAATCTTGAGAACTCTTTTTAATGCATCTTTATCTTGAGGCTACTTGTGAAGTAGTATTCTTTCTTATGATAAATTGATACTTATCATCTGGCATACTCTAATTCTTTATTTTGCATGCAGCATTTTGAAGACTTTGTCATAGGTCATTTCCGTTGCCATGCTGTAGACATTCTTTCTGCATGCAAGGCATATATTGAAGGAGCTCCAGTTGGTTCTGTGGTCAAGGGAATAGTTCAGGATCTCAGTGCAACTGCAGAGAAGAGCTCATCAACATTCAGAGAATCAGTATCCAGAATGAAGAATGGTCTTATATCCCTTTTCACTAAGAATGGTGCCAATGATTGTGACCGGTTTCGTGCTTAAGCCTACAAGGATTGATAAACCATTAGATCTTTTCATATGAAAATCACATGTTGCGCTTGCAGAATGGTCCATTTTCGACTGATTGATTTCCCCTCCATTCACAATTTCATGTACATAGTAGCTCTAATTTTTGAATCTAGATAAAACCGGATGCCTCTGTGCTGCTGTAGTAGGAAGTTGGCTTATTTTAAGTGGAAATTAAATCGCAGCAGGGATCTACAACTCATTCTGGACATACATAGACTTTTAGATTAAATTGATCAAAATATCCTAATATTCCAGACAACATAACTGTGTCTATTTCTTTTCAACAGTGCTATTGAGTAGAATCAAATAATTTTACATTATATATTACTCATTCAGAGCAGACTAATGACAATTATGGATGCGCTGCATGTGACAACGTTTTGATTTGTTCCATCCTCTGTCTGAACTTCTTCAGTTGGTTCTCTGTAGCCGCTAATCACATTAGGTTCCCAAGGTCACTGTTGAGAAACTTTTTATTAAAGTTACTTTTCAAATGTCGAACACAGAACCTGTGGTATGTGAGGGGTGGTTGTAACCACACATATGTTTGGACACACTGCAAGATGTCTTGATGATGCTCAGAAATAAGCCCAATTTGTTGTCTGTCACAAACAACACATCTCCACAACAATCGAAGGAACCATGACCATGAATCATAGCTCGTACGTGCAACCAGAGCATATGCAAGTGGAAGATTATTGTTGTTCGCATCAATTCCCATAGCAATTAACAGTTTCATCTCATACTTACCATAGAGATCCGTGCTGTCTATTGAGATAACTGGCCTGCAACTTTTAAATCCATCGACACTTGGTTAAAAAGCCCAGAAGAGATACTTGAAGATGTGGTAACCTTGCATTGTTGTTGACTGGTGCTCCCACTCAACAATGGAGCAGCCATGTATCTAGGCAACGCCTTGAAAGAACTTTCGAAATCCCCAAATACCATTTCAAGAGCTTGCTTACGCCCTCTAGATGCTTTTCTTTCACTAGGCGTAAACTTGTACAACCTTTTAATATTAACCTGAATATCCTTAATACTGATGTATGGATTGATAGTAATAGATGGTATCAACGCAATAGCAATCATGTTACTTCTTAAATTGGAATGATCCACCTCCTCAGATGCATCCATGGTACAACTGTGTTCCGCAATCATTTTTTCTGCCTTCCACATACCACCTGGAATCTCCGTAAAATGGATCATCCACCGGCAACCCTGTTTATTACACTTACAAATAACCCTCCAAAATTTAGCTCTGAACTGATCAGAAACGGACTCTTTCCGATGATGTAGACTATATAGGCTCACTGCATCTTTCATTTTCAGCTTGTTCTGAAATAGCATACCTAATTGCATGTACCAAAAAAATATCATCAAATTTAAGTTTATCATAAAGTGAGTAAACAAAATTAAGGATTACAAAAAAGAAATAGGCCAACATACAACATGATATATTATTAGAATTCTTTGGCACCAAACTAACCTGAACGGATAAATCCAGGTTTTTTCTGATTCCAAAAAGCATCCCGAATATGATCGGTAACTCTTACGCTGGCACAATTTTTTGGACCTTCACCGGGGGCTGCAGCGACTTTATCAGAATCACCATCACCACCGGGAGAAAAATTATCATCCATCCCTTCATAATCTAATGGGACATTATTGTCCAACTCATTAACTTCATCATTAGCAACATTGTTGTTAGTCACAAGTTTTGTGGGCTGAGTCAACGTGGGGTTGTTTTCAATATCATTACGCCTACAAACATAAGAATATTACAAGCCATTCAAATCTCAAACACAATAAGAAGTCCCCTAAAAAAGGTGAACTAAATATCACTATATTTACCCATCAATTGACTCCAATTGAGCAGAGTGGTGTTGATTGCTACTACCCCCGACTAATGCACTTGTACCTGGATTTTCAGGGTGTCTAACACTTCGGTCCAAATTCTGAAACCGCACAAGATCCTTACTTTTCCCCCCTATCTCACAGTTGTGCATACTCCGATCAATGTTACAATAGTGCATTGAAGCCACACGATCATATCGTGCACCAACTCCACTCGTATATTTTGACTGACTAGCAACTCCTACCACTGCTTGTTGTTGAAGTGTACCCCTTGGAAAACCAAGATTCAAACTAGGAAGATATGTAGTATCTCCAACGCCTAAATCAAACTCAGAGTCGATAGGTTGTTCAACCAGGGGGAAGCGTTCAACTGTTGCAAACATTTCAAGCACAACTATGGTGATGTGATTACTAAAAGTCTCAGGACTTTGGAGAAATGACAACAACGATCCATCACTGTAAATCGGAGTCTCACCAAAAATTGGGAGCCCATTGGCCAAAATTACATTTGGATATCGTCCAGTTATGACCACAGTAAGTTTGGGATCACTTACAGCCATTTTACTCCTAAAGATGCGTTGCAAACGATCATACTTGAGGGAAATTGGGAACCTTTGCATCACTTGAGGTTCGCGGCTGTATCTCACCAAGCCTGAACCTGCTTCATACACAACTTTACCTCCCCAATGTAAATTAACTTTTACATGAGTTTCCCCCATTGTCTTGACTTACCAAAATGAACTCCACCTTCTGCCAAAAGGTTTGCCCTGAGTTGTTCTGTATATTAAGCTAGAATTCATCAATACAAAAAGTCAGTGAGATTCACACTGAAGTTAGAAAGATGTAAGTATTACAACAATGAGAAAAAAGAACAGTGAAACATCACAAATATCATAGCATCTTGATTCATATGATACCATTTAACATGACACAAATTTAACAAAAAAGGTAAGACCTTTGAAATTTATGGTAAAACAGAACATGTGAAAATTCATAAATCACTTCACTAGGATAAAAAAAAGAGAACTTGAATTGAATTCTTTTTTATAATTACAGAGAAGTAAACTAGAAATGGAAGTGTGACTGTGTGGGATATGTTTTGCTAGAAAATACTTTATTTGAAAAATAATTGGGTTTCTTGCTTAATTATTTTCTAGTGTTTGGTAAGTAAGTAAAATAATATCTCAAAAACATTTATATATAAGAGCAAAACATCATGAGGGTTGAATGGTGTAGGGAGTGGTGGTGGAGGGAGCATGATGGAGACACCTTAGGTGAAGGGTGGTCCGATACACACTTTTAAAATATTGATTATTATGAGTGTATATTTAATTTTGCAGACCCTCTCTGCCTATGTTACTCGAACTCTTCAAAAACGTCAACGGGTCGGATTCTCCAAAAGTACAGGATTTTCCAAAAGTAGTGTACTTTTGGGGAATCCGACACGGGTGTGGTATCAAAAGTGAAGAGTTAGTGCAACTATGCTTAGCACAATTTAAAAGAACATTAGCTCATCCGTCGCCAAATTTCTAGCTCCACCACTCAAGGGGTGGAATGGTCAAGGAATGGGGATTAGAGACATTAGGGCGGGTGGACAGTAGATAATGAACTTGAAACTTACTTACGCGACTTGTTTTCCCTACTTCCATAAACTTGTTTTTCTAGAGAAAATGCTTTTTTTCTGGGTGAGATTGTTGAACCTTAACTCAAAACTCAGGTTGGGGCATCCAAATGGAACCTTTACTCAAAACTCATAATAGTGAAAGAAATGCAGTTAGAGAATTTGATCCATACCGTTGACAAGGAGAATGAAGACACTATTATATACTCAAATCAATGTAGCTCCACTGACCAAGTCTTGTTAGTAACAATTTGGCAATGCATCTTTCTGTTAACACAACCTTCAGTTCTTATATATCCTCTTTCCAGTAGCTCTAGAATAATTAAGTGATTCTCTAAACAAAATATGAGGTTCTGCTTTTGACAATAATATATTTGATCAATATCAATCTCACTAACATTATATTCCCGGAAGTTTAGTACACCAGACTGCCCCCATAGAGAAATGGAGAGAAGAAAGATATAAACTGTAAATGAAAAAATGTTTAAATTCATTCCTCATGTTTTCATTTGAATGTTAGTGAAAAAACTACAAGCAAATCATCGTACAATATCTGAGTAAAACAGCAGCGTGTGAGGTTTCCATATGTGCCACAAGAAGGGTGCTGATAAATTACATGAACAGCTACAATGTTGTCGTAGGCTCGATGGAATTTATACTACGTACACAACACATGAAAATTCACGATACATACACATAATTAGTTGGAAATGTACATTGCTATTTCGCTTCACCACCAAAATAACTCAACTTCTGATGCTCACAGGACTGCATAAAGCTGAGAGATTAAAGGAAAAAATAACAGTTAAAGAGTCGACAGATTAATCGTTTCTATCAAATTTACAAATCAGAAATGTTGATGAAGTTACCAGCATGGAGAAAGGAGCAAACTTATGGATTGTCATGGGAGCATTCTGTTAGTTCAGAACTCAACATGTGATGGAGGAGGAAATCTACTCGCTGGCTCCGAGTCTTAGTGCTGTGCAATGAAAGAAGTTGCCAATCAGAAAAATAGTTTACATCTTATACGTGTTAATGAAAGTTTTCCCATATCTCAACATCAATCAATCACACTTACCCAACATTACGTCTCCGCACACTTGATTCCTGAATTACACAAAAAGAATTCAGGTTCACATGAGTACTTCTTATTAACAAAGACAACAATGTTACATAATGAAATAAGAGATGTACATCTCCAAGATTAGTACCAATTGGTTCGTTTAATGACGACTTGGTTCAAGACTAAAGGATCAAACAGAGGGTAGACTAGTAGAAAAGACGAAAAGTCTAGAACTGTTTTGAGGGTTATAGAGTGATGAAAAAGGTTAGAATACTATTTAGTATGTTCTGATAAGTGCTGTTAGAGTAAATGTAGATTTAAATGCCGAGGGATTTAAAAATAGGAGGAAGTGAGGAAAGAGTAAAGAAACAGGGTTTACGGTAGGCAAAAAGAAACAAAATATACTCGGAGTGATATTTTTGTCAATGATTTGAATAAAATATTCTGTTTGTTCTCTTTTGAAGAGTGACCAAGGCTGGTAGATCATGAAGGAATCGTTCTCTTTCTAAACTTCACGAGTGTAAATAATAAATAGCATTTCTATGATGAAACGAAGAACTCCAACAACTCGCTAGAGTCTGTCAAGATGTTCCTGTCTGCAAATGAATACGCTAGTAATAATAGATTCGCTTCATGAGAACCAGCTGATGCAGGCTCATAAACTAACCTTGTCATCACCATCCACACAGTTTGCTGCAGCCTCTAGATCCATTTCTGC